TTAACTGAGGGTAGAGCACAGGGTGGTGATTCATACATGAACACCAGGCAGGGTCAAAGGAAAAGAGCGTTTGGAGCTCCTATCTATCTCTAGTCCTGTTTTATCTCTAGGTGTGTTTCCTAAATAAACAGGGAGGGACAAGAATATTGTAGGATTGCCTGTTCTCCGAAAGTCATGTCTGGCATGTGTAAATAAAAAGCAGCAGTTGCAGATTCTTACCACCTATTGACTTGTCAGCGTAAAATTGCATGCTACCTACAATCTGCTTTTACTGTACAAGTTCAAAGTTCATACATCTACACCAATACAAGTGGAAGATGTCAAAGTGCAAGTGTTTTTAATTAGAGCTGCAGCTAACGATTATTTTCAAAATCGATTAGTTAGCTGATTATTAAGTTCGGTTAATCGGATAAAATAAAATACATTTAAAAGAATGGCTCCAGTGATGGGACTACTAGTTTGTATTGAGATTTCAGTCCATCACAGGAGCAAACTTGGAGCGGTGGAAGTAAAAGAAAAAAAAAAAGTGTGGTGTGCAATAAAGTGTAAAATTATACATCAATGAATGCAGAATGGCATCGGCTATAGAGGAATACAAAACCCAGCAATAGTACATTATACAGCACAATGCAGAATACCACCAGCTATAGTCGCGGGGAGGAGGTGCGGTGTGTGGAACGTGGATGCAGGCGGGCGGGTCTGGCAGCGGCGAATGTGAGGTGGGGAGGAGGTGCGGCGTGCAGTGTGTCTGGAGCTGTGAACAGGGCCAACTAATCTGAAGCCGATTAATCGATGATTGAAAAAGTTGACAACTTTTTCAATAATCGATTATAATCGATTATGTCGATTAGTTGTTGCAGCCCTATTTAAAATTTTGGATAGCGTGGAGAGGGATAAAAACCCATCAGGTCTTTAGTGCTCTCTGTGTCCCTGTTCAGGAGATGTATCCTGAAGTCACCACCAGAACAGGAATAGATGGAAAATCTTCCAATGGGTACATTAGTTCTAGTGGCCCTGCTGACCACTAGGGATTTCCCTCACTTTGGAGGGACTTCCTCTCACTTCCTGTTGTGGCTATTAGACAAGAAGTGATGGAAAATCTCCCCAATGAATGGCAAAAAAAAAAACTGACACTGGTTATAACCCTCCCTTACTCTATCCAAAACTAAAAAAAAAAAAAAAAAGATGATTGTCTGCTGTGGTTAAAAGGGGCTGAACTGGGTGGCAGAAGACCCCGTTGCAGGGGTAACAGTCCACAGACAGGGTTAGATTTAATTGCCAGTCATATATAGACGTCTGACTGTGATCTAAAGTCTAGGACCGGGTAAACAAACTCTGGCCCTTCAGCTATGGTGCAACCCCCATTAGACACTGCAAGACTGATGGCCACAACCATGCATAATGAGATGTGTAGCTACACCACAGATAGAGGGCCAGCATTTGCCTACGCCTGCTCTAGGGTAAAGTTTTCTCATCTTGTCACCACTGGTGCAGTCAGCATAGCATAATGTTTCTGTGGTGTGTGTCATAATGTATCTGCATGTTTGTACAATGTATCTAGGAGTATTATGGTGGTTGGTGGGGTGGTAGTGGTATTGCATTATCTTTATCATATGCTCAGTATGTTTTTTTGGGGGTTTGTGAAAGTTTTACCTTAATCAGCCCTTAAAAGCTGTAACTTACTTCGAAGGAGATGTAAACCCCAAGTGGATTATATTTAGTTTGCGAAAGCACTATGTATCAATCACCAATTATTATTTTTTCAGAAACTGTTTTCACCTTTTTTTCATTCTTTTTTTGTATCTCAGTGTTGCTGACCTCCTGTATCCTCTTTGCAGCCACTTCCAGTCTACATGCCCTTTCTCCAGCAGTGACTACATGGCATTTCTCAAGGGAGGTTTCCGCACAGTGGCAGAGCATGCCTGTGCAATATGTGCTGGACCAATGCTTATAGCAAGGGTGGGCAACTCCGGTCCTCCAGCTGTGCTTTAACTACAAATCCCAACATGCTTCTGCCTCTAGGAGTCATGCCTGTATCTGCCAGTCTTACAATGTTTCATAGGACTTGTAGTTCCAGAAGAGCTGGAGGGCCAGAGTTGACCACCACTGGCTTATAGTCTCCCTCAGAAGGTCATGTTGCAGGGAGTGACAACACAGAAGACCAAATGAGAGACAAGGACAGAGCGTGGCCATCCTATAACAGGAAGACCCTAATTGTAGGATCAGCGGCTATTATTTTAATGAAAGCTGCAGATTAAAAAACATTGAAATTACTTTTGAAAATGCATTAACATATTAAAGATTATATCAGACTTTAGTGATTAGGTTTACATCTACTATAGGCCTATGTGTTTTCCCATTTCTGATTCGTCACAATTTAATTTTCAGCAAAACAAAGTGAAAGAAATAGTGACTGACCTTGCAGCACCTGTTGGCGCTGATATATGGCGAGCTGCTGATCCTCTCCAGCAGATATGGAGGACCCACTGTCGGATGACATGTTGTAGACCTCATAGGTAAAGAGACCGCCTGGGTCTGTAATGAGAAACGATGAAAAGCTGAGCTTCAGAATGAATGCAAAGAGCAACATACAAAAAGTGCATAAATCAGCATTATGAGCAGCTGGAATCTCCACCCAGTCTGCCCTGCGGCTATTTTTAATGTTCAGATAGTAATCCTGCATTACTTCCAAAAAAGTTCAAATCAGACTGTGCTGACATTCCCACATTTATATGATTTGATATCAGGATCTCTGTTATGATTGGCCAGTCATAACCAGAGAGGTCGCTGCAACCAATATAATTAGGGTACCACCAGAGGTGTATCCAGGGTATGGCATGTGCCCTGAGCCCCACTCGAAGGTGGGGGTGCCGCTCAGTGGGTAAGTGAAAGTTCGCCAACCCACGGAGGAAGCTTTTTCTCTCCCATGCACATCCCGCCGCCTGGCTCTTAGCAACCAGGGACACTCTGGCCAGCATCCAGCCCAGCTCCTGGCTGCTTCTGGTTGCTAGGTGCAAGGCAGGACATCAGCATGAGTGTTCTACACATCACCCCGTCTGGCTCTTAGCAACCAGAGTGGGAGGAGAGATGTGTATGTGTGTATGAGGGCGGGATGCTCTAGCAAGCATCCCACCCAGCCAAAAATAAATAAAATAAACTAATGGCAATAAAATCCCATCACAATCAGCACGCCTGTTCACAGGTGCCAGGATTATCATTTGAAGAAAAAAAAACTACTATAGCATCCCGCATGATAAAAGGAGACATTTTTACTACAGGAAAACATATAAACACAAACTTTCTGGTTCCCAAGTAGTTAAAACGCCAGTTCATTATGGATTTACTTAAATCTGGTCTCTCCTGGCATTGTAATTTTAATCTCATCAGCTTAAAGGATTTTAGCAAGTCTTTGTAAAAGCACAGAGCGTGGTCACAGTGCTAGGAAACACTCGCACCTACAAATCAGGAGCTCGGGATGGCTCACTAGCCGATAAACACACCACGGCTACTGCAGCTCTGAGACCAAGCAAATGGCACACAGAAGCCATGTAGGGATTAGCTAGCTGCTTGTTATAGGGTTGTGCAATGCTGCCCATTGTCCATGAATGTGGCCGCATAGGTTCCCATAACACCTTTGTGTCCTGCTTTGGATGCAATTTTAAACCCCTGAGATACCTTCATCTTTCATATAGAACCCAACTGCCGAACACTACAAATACCCGTTGATCCTGACAGTGAATTTCACCTACTGCAGCTTCTGGTGATAGCATGGCAGCAATGCTGCACTGCTCCCGAATTCAGAGCAGAGTTGCCACACTCCTGTAGGCAGTGTCTGCTTGCATTACAGAGGGATGAACAAACGTTGCAGGAGGGGGCGTGAGGCTATCAACATCAATGCTGATGTCCATGCCTGTAGCTTGTCAGGCAGCACCTGACCACACCTAGTCCTGCTCATTGCTTTCTGGAATGACAGCACTGCCTCTGTTGCTGCAACCCTCCCACAGGGAACTGCAGTGTCTGGGAGGGGAGCGTGTGAGTCACAAATGAAGGAGCATTAGCTCCAGTCAGGAAAGGTAAAGAAACTTTTTTTCTTTACTTTATAAGGCTTGTGCATCACATAGTAACTGGATATGGGACAGTCATATAGCCTTCATTAGTACTTTAATCTTGTTATACTTCCTATCCGATCGCTTTTGCTGTAGCCTAACAGACTGTACCTCCAAGAGCACTGAAGTTACTTGCAGAGCCACCCATAACGCAAGAACAATAATAGTCTGCTAAGGCCTTGTTCACACCAAGCACGTTCCAGGAGCAGAGCAGTTACAGACCAGATCAAAACTGCGTCCAATGTATTCCAAATGGTATTTTGGGCTCCAGTTCACACCGCAGCATTCAGTTCCAGAGCATGTAAAAAAAACTGCAGCAAGCCCTATTTTACCTGCTCTGGAGCGCATGCAAACGCATCAAAAACGCATGCAAATGCCCTGGAACGCACTGAAAGACCATTTTAAACTAAAAGAAAAAAAAAGTATTTTATTTTTTTTCACCAAAAACGGCCCGGAACGCATGAAAAACGCGGCACAACCCACTGCACTACGGGTGCAGAAACTCATGCAGATCTGGTCTGCATTTGGTGTGAACAAGCCCTAAGGTTCACCACCACTCTCAGAATTTAGTCCTTAGTTCTGGTTGAAGGAAAGAGATTCAACCCAAGGATGCTCGTTAACATTTAACAGTTTCCCCATCTGTGACACATGGCACAAATATACAGTAACCCCATCTATGGCACAAGGCACAAATATACAGTAACCCCATCTATGGCACAAATATACAGTAACCCCATCTATGGCACAAATATACAGTAACCCCATCTATGGCACATGGCACAAATATACGGTAACCCCATCTATGGCACATTGCACACATTTACAGTAACCAACCACATAGTAACTGGAATTGATCTGCGTCACACATTTGTAATAATAAACAAACATGTCCATAACATTTGCTTGATATTACTAAATATATTTGACATCTTGTATTGCCTCAAGGTAAACCGTTTTTGAAGTCCACAATAAGGGCAGTTTCATTTTTTTCTAATGTCACCATTGCCACTCCTAAACCTCCAGGCTTCCTGCTCATGTCCTTTATACTTCTTTAACTCAAAGTGTCATAGTCTAGACACCTTCATAACAATATTGTACACTCTATTACTTGATGCCGCTCCCTACTGTTCTTTCCTCTCTGATTGACTTGCCCTCTTCTAGTAAAACCAAGGCCATATATAACCACTGCGGGACTCAATAAAACCTAATGAAATCAAATGTTCAGTATTTTCCTGGGTTATATTTACTTAAAACAGTTATGGAAGCCTAAGGAAGAATAGCAGCATAGGAATCTTGTGCTGGAGACACTGTTCTTAAAAAAAAAAAGTATATTTGTTACCACTAGTGCCCAGACTGTGCCCTTTATTCGAACACTCAATGACAGAATAAGGGCTCATTCACACTATAGCATACCATTGATCGCACAAATACAGTGAATTTAATGCACACTAATGCACAACTGCATGCAATACTCTTATCCACCACTCAAGGTATTGCGGCATAACAGCTGGGAGGTGCATTGGGATGGCATTCAAATGGCCCAAGGTAATGCACGCTAGGTGCATTGTGCGATACTATGCATTAATCGCACAGTATCATGAGATTAACGCAACTATATGGTGTGAATGGGCCCTAACTGGTTGGCTAAAGCTGGTTGAATTAGATAAATCACACACGTCTCCTATCGATGGCTAAAGAGCATGGATGGAGGAATCTCCCCTGCCAGCTTTTGTATTCTGACAGCTGATAGCCATGGCTGTTAGGGTACCTGAACAGGGACTACAGCTGATTTGTTGGGTGAACACTGACTGCAGCCATTTTCCACATGGCTCCGTTGACAAAGGCTGATTGAAAAAAAAAATGTTTTTGTTGAGCCGGGTGGTGTCAGCATGGCCACCCACAGAACTTATTTGTTCAGATGTAGCAGGAAACTGACAAAATGTAATCTGTGTATGGCTAGCTTAAGCTTTAAGACACCTAGGCGATTCAGATGCTGAGCTGTTTTCACGCGACTGTTCATTGAAAAGCACGCGGTTGTCAATGCAAAGAGATGTCTACGGGACCCAAACCACGCGACAACCGCCCGAAAATAGCTCCTGCACCTTTTCACGTGACAAACCGCAAAAGGTGTGAACAGCCTCCATTGACTTCAATGCAAATCTGTGTTTTGCGCAATATCGTGCGACTCAACCCGTGCTATAAATCGCCTAGGTGTGCACCGGCCCTAAAATGTTAACACCGACCAACATTTAAAGTGTGCCTGCCACCCTCTTTCTGGCCGGAGCATCCCAGGTTGCGCAGAATCGGGTGGGGAGATGTGTAAGGGCCATACACATCTCCTCAGCCAGCTCTTAGCAGCCTGGGACACTCTGGCCAGCGTTCCATCTAGCTTCTGGCAACCAGTGACGTTGCTTGCCAGCAGCTAGATGGCATGCTGGCCAACTGCAACCTCTGCCACTGACTGTGTGTAGCGCCTGCACATCAACCAACATTCCTGCCTCAGGCAGCAATAAGCCTGGGGACACCCCAGTATAAATAAATGCTACATTGTTTAGATTGCACTTGTCATCCAATATTCAGATCATTGGTTTTTTTTTTAAAAGCCAATATAAAAGGAAATGCATGAGTGACAAAAAGCCCCAATGGGTTAAGATAATTCACTTGTCACGGTTTGTGTGATCAGAGGGTATGAGAAGGGTACATCCATTGCTTAAATATTCTCTGCTAAAAGATGTCCATCTTTCCTATCTCAGGTTGGGAGATGATACAATATGAAGTGTAATAACTCATAGCAACTACATAGCCATCCATCCATCCATCACTGTGCAAACCAAAGAGATGTGAAATGTGATGTTATTGCACAACATCGCCCTTAGCAGTGGAATATCAAATATGCAGGAGTGCCATAATTGGTTTTAAAGTAACAAAAAGTAAAGTTAGTACATTTCTTTCACATGGGGAGGTTTTATAAATAGGTCTCAAATAGGCATTAGTGATTTTTTTATCAGCTCAAACATGAAACCGTACAAATACAGTATACAAAAAGAGGAATGGAGGCTGACATCATCAGTACTAGCACGAATATGTGACAACAACCTAAAAAGGCTAAGTCCACTTTTTGAGAAAAAATAATAAATGCACACTTCTTTATAAGAGAAAAAAATTAGCATTTTTAATTTTTTTTTTGCACTGCAGCCAGTAAACCATTGCAACTGCAATCAGTAGCTTCTTCCCTTCTTACGGACAAAAATATCCTTGGTACGGACATTCAACAACATGGGCAGGAAGAAGAATGAATGGAAAATGAGTGCAGTGGCGTCACACCAGGAACTACAAGTCCCTCTGCCGTGGAGGCTGTTGGGACTGGCAGTTACTCTATTCACAGATCCTCTCAAAGGATTTTTGAATGGATGACGTGACTGTGTGCAT